AAAAACCGTTACACTGGGCTACAACCTTGTATCAGTGAGACGACATAAACCATGACCACTGTGTGCTACGACCTTGTAATCATTGATTACGACAAAACGTTGACACTGGCCTACAACCATGTATCAGTGAGACGACAAAACCGTGACCTGGGCTACAACCTTGTATCACTGAGACGACAAAACCGTGACACTGGGCTACTACAACCTTGTATCAGTGAAACGCATGACACTTTGGGCTAAACCATGACACTGTGCTACACTACAACCTTGTATCAGTGAGACGACAAAACCATGACACTGGGCTACAACCTTGTATCAGTTGACACGACAAACCATGACACTGGGCTACAACCTTGTATCAGTGAGACGACAAAACCGTGACACTGGTCTACAACCTTGTATCAGTGAGACGACAAAACCGTGACACTGGGCTACAACCTTGTATCAGTGAGACGACAAAACCGTGACACTGAGGACGACAAAACCGTGGCTACACCTTGTATCAGTGAGACGACAAAACCATGACACTGGGGTACAACCTTGTATCAGTGAGACGACAAAACCGTGACACTGGGCTACAACCTTGTATCAGTGAGACGACAAAACAACGACACTGGGATACAACCTTGTATCAGTGAGACGACAAAACCGTGACACTGGGCTACAACCTGGCATTAAAAATCACAAGTCTGGAAAGTTTTCAGAGGACCGAATGGGTTTCCATTGTACCTGATGAGAGCGACGTTCTGCAAAGAGCCTGCAGCATGTTGATGATGATGATATTATGGGCCATGTTAGGTCATAAAATCACTTCAGAGGTCCTGGGTAGTTAGTATCCTTCGGGTCTTTTCCCCAGGTAATGTCGCTGTGTTGGGCAACAGACAGCCAGACAGACAGACAGACAGACAGACAGACAGACTGGCTGATTCTGCACCGCTTGGTGGTGAAGTGATCTGTACTAGAAGCAAGGCCTAAGGGGAAATATATTAGAGGAAAAGAGGCGATACAATAAATAAGGATAATATAAAAAGCTACTCCTTGAACCTATCTCTATTGAAAACATCAAAGAGCTCCAACAAGCGTGTCGTGGTGAATGTAAGCCAACCCACACTCAAGAGTTTGCAGTAACAAGGCAAAAAAGAGGAAAAGCTCGTTAGGCGGAGGCTAAGACTAATAGTGTCTTATCCCAGACATGATATATTCTGCTGAAGTCTAATCAGTAGTATCACTAAAAATAGACACACTAACTACAATCATGCTATATCCGAGCGATCATACACACTGCTACCTAAGTGTGACCCACACAATTAAATTACTAATGGAAATTTAATTCTAACACCGAAACTAACTACGGAGAAGTATCGAAACCGTAAAATAGCCACCTCATCCCTCGACGCAGCCTCCTCTCTCTCTCTCTAGGGCGACTTGTCGGTCCAGCGGACCGGAAAATAAGAAGGTCACATTTTTGGCCCGACCTTTTTTATGCTCACGACTTGCCATATTTTTTACCACTTGCACCCTAATCACATTTATTCAACAGACCCTTTGGCGTTCTGCTACAGATACATGCCAAGCTAGATGCTCTAGGGGTCCTTTGGGAACGAACGAACAGAGTGGAAGCACAAATAGGTCTTTAAGGTCTGAGGAGAATGATGCTGGGGGAAGTTACCAGGGGATCTAACTGTCGCTCAGCACTGAAAGGAAAGGCGAGATGGATACACCAGCAGACAATTACTGGCACCATCAGGACTGGAACCCTGTCCTGCTACAGAGGATGCGCACCAAGCCCCTACAGGAGTGCCCCGACTGCTGTGGTGTCGATGTTCAACAGTCGGAAAACACTTACCCCCAGTGCTAGCTGCGCCACCTGGTATGGAACTGCTGAAGGATTTGGCGCTTCTGCAGATAGAGAATGGCAAAGTAACTGGTTGAAGCTGTCAAGTAAAATCGAATAAGTGGGCTTTTATGCAACAATTAAAAAAAATTCTTACAGAATATCAATTTAAACAACAAGAGTGAAATAATAATAAAGAGCCCGAACGTGTTGTGACGTTTGTGGAAGGAGAGATCGAGGAAGACAATTCGGGAAGATTCTTGACAACCTTTTGTCCTGGCATGGATTGGTATCAGCACTCAAATTGACACCTGCTGTTGGAGGTGGCAGGTTGGGGAGAGGCATGATCGTCGACACCAGTCGGTAAAACGTTTGATGGTGGCGAATCAGTAGCTTGATTTAGAACTAGATGTAAGTGTCCGACTTTGCCCAATTTAGTACAATAAAATGTTATTCTCCCGTCCTCTACTTCATCTTTGTCTCCCCCGCTGTCGTATGTTTAGTCACTACCTTGTAGTGCTGCTGGGGCGCTTACCTCCCCCTTGGCCCGTTACCCTACCACAAAAATATGACTACAAAGCTACCACCCCCTCAATAGCCCTAGCATCCTTAACAGGGTGGTAGTGCCCACGATAGGAAGAACTGGTCTGAGGGTTACCCCCCCACCCCCACGGAATCATGACTGGATGTTTTAACCCTTACATTACGGAATCAACTGATCAAAATCTGTGAAAGTATTACCAGTATGTTACAACCTGACAGACATACACATGCAGTATCTGTTCTATGACACAGCAGACGATGAATTGTAATTTACATGTGGTCATACACGATATCTTTAGCCCCGGCTTGATAAATGGTGATCTTCAACAATGTTGAATACAAGCCTGCTTACCCCCACCCCTTATTTTAGACCCCTTCCACCTTTTTTTAGACACACCCCCCCCCCCCCCAAAAAAAAAAAAAAAAAAAAAAACTGGGACAAAATCAAATGTTATCAGGGTACTTGGAAAGTGAAAACATTTTCACGCCGCAGCAGGCAGGATTTAGACAGTGCTACTCCACAGAAGACCAGACAACTTACCTTTCACAAGAAATTGAGGATGCCTTCCAGGAAAAGAAGCTAGTGCTAACGGCATGGATAGATCTGAAGAAAGCCTTTGACAAGGTCTGGAAAGAAAGTCTACTAAAGAAACTGAGAGACTGCAGGGTGAATGGGAGTATGTACAAATGGGTCAAAGCATACTTGTATAACAGAAGATCCCGAGTACAGATAGATGGACTTAAGAGTAAGAAAGTTTTGCTGCGCCATGGCGTCCCACAAGGAGGTGTCCTGTCCCCCACACTGTTCCTAGTCTATATCAACGACCTGCTTTCTGAACTACCCCATGGAATTAAAGCTGCAATGTATGCTGATGACTTGGTACTCTGGTGTACAAATGAAAATGCGACAGTGGCCACCAGACTGCTACAAAGAGCCATAGATGCAATGGCTGATTGGGCCGACAAATGGTGTGTCAGCATCAACATAGGCAAATGCAGCACCACCCTCTTTACCCTTTCTCCTAAACAAAAATCAGGTGTCATGCACATAAATGGAGTACCCCTGAGAGAGGATAAGGAGCCCACATACCTCGGCGCGTAACGTTTGATGATAGATTAACATGGAGAAAACACATCAACAAGGCAGCAACCAAAGCCAGAAGGAGGGTAGCCATTCTGAGAAAACTAAGTGGAACCACATGGGGTGCTAGCGGGAAAATACTTAGAAAAGTTTACCAACAAAGTGTTCGACCACATCTTGAATACGGATCAACAGCATGGAGTTCGGCATCAAAAACCACATTGCAAGAATTAGACAAAGTGCAAAATCAAGCACTCAGAGTTACCACAGGCGGTATGAAATCAACACCTATAGCTGTGATGGAGAAAATGGGGATGACCCAAGCTGAGTGAACGAGTGAAGATGCTTTGACAAGCAGAAAAGTTTCTTAGAGACCCACCAATGAAAGATTCCAAAATGCTTTGACAAGCAGAAAAGTTTTATCCACCAGCCAAACGGCTCGGCAGACAAACCACTGATCTGCCTGCAACTGATAGATCCTTAAATGCTGTCCCAGAACGGACCCCCTGGAGAGAGGAGTATAAGTTTCCAATACACATCAAGACTGAAGTGAAAGGGGTATTTGACAAGGAAGAACAAAACAGTGTGCAGCGCAAAACAGCCACCCTAAGTCTACTTGATGATGAATACCAGCAGAACCTTTGAGTCCGTGTTTACACAGATGGGTCAGCAGAAAGCGCAGTCAGAAACGGAGGTGCGGGAGTGTACATTGAGTATCCTAATAATACCAGGGATACTGCCAAATTACCAACGGGAAAGCACTGTCACAACTATGATGCAGAAGTTCAAGCCATCAAGATAGCGGTAGAGAAACTACTAAATACAGGGTATTTTTCACAACCAGTGGTATTCCTGACAGATGCAAAAGCAGTATTTCAGTCACTCCAGTCTGGAAAATTACCAAGCATACGGACACTATTATCCGAACTAGGCAACCGCTGTAAACTAGTAATGCAGTGGATACCTTCCCACTGTGGAGTTCCCGGAAATGAAAAAGCTGATAAACTATCTAAGGAAGGTGCAACTGAAGAACAATCTGACATACCAGTCTCTTATCAACAGAAGAAGAGAATGATCAAATCAATCAGAATGCCACCGAAACTGGCACAAGATGATTACCATATTATGGACAGACCAGAGCAAGTTATTATCCTTCGCCTTAGAACAGGGGACAATCGACTTCGCTCCCACATGTACAACAAATTTAAGATTGGCCAATCAGCCATGTGTATTTGTGGACTGGCACCTGAAACAACAGATCACATCCTTCAAGACTGTCCCAGATTCAACGCTTTCAGGCAAAACCTTTGACCAAAAGAGACACTTGTGGACGTCAAACTTTACGGGCCGCTTAGTGAATTACAAATGACAGTGAAATTCATACTAGAGACAGCTTTGCAGATATAGATAATTTATTTCATGCGAACGAAAGAAGAAGAAAAAGAAAATGTTATCAGGCATGAGTGGTGGCTGTTGACTACAAGTGCTGGAAATATGGGCGCCAAAGTTTAGCGACACGTCATGTAGATACTGACCTTGACAGTGGTCGCCATGGTATCCGGGACAACATTGCCAGACAACATGTTTCTTCCACTTGTAGGTGCGGTGGTAGACGACCGGGCTGAGGATGGCAGGATCTCATACATGAGCACAGCATAACATACTGCACATACATTTTTGAGTGGACAAGCATAAACATATGGACATAGTGACAGACAGACATGCAGACAGATAGCACACACATATTTTCATGCATACACATAAACATACAGAGGTAGACACCGACAGACATGCAGAAAGATTGACAGACAGGGTTGCAAATAGACAGACAATCCACACGTAAGAGAAATAAACACTCAAATAGAAAGACGTAGCTACAGGAAGACAAAATGAACGAATGAACGAACTTTCTTTTTTCAAAGGGTCACAAATTGGACACGCAAGCCTGTCTTACATTCAGCCCTTCCAAACACCCATCTTTTACACAGCAGTTGTATTTTAGCAATAAAGCATGCTGTGTTCATTGAATAATACGCATATTATCCATTTAAAGAAAACACACATATACACATGCCCACCCACTCAATTACTAATTTACACACACACACACACACACACACACACACACATCCTCACCCACACACACACCCATACATACATACTTACAACCACACACACACACATATATATATAAGTGGAAAGATAGGCCAGTAGTCAGGGGATGTTGTTCTCTCGCCAGGCGGGGGGGGGGGGGGGATAAATAAACAGACAACACAAAGCCAGGCTGATAACCAACAAATGTATGCACAAAAAACATTAAAAAGTCACGATCGTCAATGACGGCTCCAAATCAAGAAGAAGGAGGAGGAGGAGGAAGAGGAGGAGAAAGTTAGAGTAGGAGGTTAGAGGAGGAGAAGTTAGAGGAGAAGGAAGTTAGAGGAGGAGGAAGTTAGAGGAACAGAGTGAATAGGAGGAGAAGAAGTAAAAACAGAAAGAAATACACAGTTAAAGAGAAAAAGGAAGGGAGAAAGGAAGAAAGAAAGAAAGAAAGAAAGAAAGAAAGAAAGAAAGAAAGAAAGAAAGAAAGAAAGAAAGACAGAAAGAAAGAAAGACAGGAAGAAAGAAAGACAGACAGAAGAACTAAATAAATACTTACCTGCCATCGGTGGCTGGTGGGGAAGCTTGAAGACAACTAACCCGTCGGTGTTCGATCTTGGGGCACCATCGACTGGGGATGCGATTGGGGGCGTGGGGGTGGGGGGGGGGGTGGGGTTACTGTATTTGTTAGTTTTATCAGCTGTTTGTATAGGAGAAGCATAGAGAGAAAGAGAGAGAGAGAGAGAGAGAGAGAGAGAGAGAGAGAGAGAGAGAGAGAGAGTAAGAAAGAGAGAGAAGGGCATGAATCCATAGTTCATGTCTGCAATGTATCACTATAAGTTTCAATAGTACATTTGAAAATTTTAGTGTTATTTTGTTGTTGTTCCACTCCTTCTCCTCATTTTCCTCATCCTCCTCCTCTTTCTTCTTCTTCTTCTTCTTCTTCTTCTTCTTCTTCTTCTTCTTCTTCTTCTTCTTCTTCTTCTTCTTCTTCTTCTTCTTCTTCTTCTTCTTCTTCTTCTTCTTCTTCTTCTTCTTATTCTTCAGTAAGACATTTTATTTCTGTATTTATTATGGAAAACATTTGAAAAAAAAAAAAAAAAAAGAAACGACAAACATTGTGATTTACCTCAGTGATCCAACTGTGATCCTAGCTCGTATATCTGGCACAGACTGAGCAAGCACTGCAGGAAACAAGACAACGGAAAGCCACAGAAAACTCGTTGTACTCCAAACTGGCATGTCTCCAATCGACCAGACTCTCGTATTGGCCATCATCTATGATAGTTTCACATGAGAACGGTCTCTGGTATTTTACATAAACTGTACGTAAGTATGTATAGTTTTCAGAAGTCACATTAGCTGCTAAAGATGGGCGCCGAGCCCGTATGGAAATGTCCAGAATGTTGCGATTTCTGTTTTTTCAATTACGCTAGACTCAAATTCATATCACACAAGAGTTAATCCTAAATGAAAAATGTAAAAAAAAAAAAAAAGTTACATTTAAGAAAAAACTATAGTATCACAGACATTTTGATCTGTAAAATAAAGTCAACCAACTTGTGTGGAATCTCTAATGGAGCTATAGCCAGGAATATTTTCATTCACGAATCCACGTGCCAGCAAGGCTTTTATCTTTATTTTAGTTTTATATACACCGTTTCGTATTCTTGATGCTCAGTCTTCGAAAGTTAGGAAAGTTAGGTCACATTCAGAGGAAGGTGCAGTCCTTAAGAACACCCTTTATTCTAAATTACAGAATGGAAAATATCGGAGTAGGCCTCTGCTATGAATGATACAGATATTAGGGTCTATTGACGTGAACCCGGACTGTATTATATACAGGGAGCAGACTGGTAGAGTCATCAGGGCAAAGGAGACACTGATCAAAGGTGATTTAAATGCAGAGCGTATGAGCAGAAATACTTATTGCAGTCTCCCCCCCCCCCCCCAAAAAAAATGACAGAGATGGAGGTAGAGAATAAGTTTTTTTTTTAATGGGGTCTGTAGACTACGTGTTTATTTTAAAATGGGGGTCAAGGGTTATTTGTTTATTATAAAAGAGGAAATCAAACTGAGTCTTTAAAGATGCGGATATTCAGAAAAACTGTTTTTCACGGAGACAGGCACAGTCTGACAGGCGATACAAGAGAGACTAGCAATGGAGAGATAATAGAGGGGACAAATAAAACAGGGACAATTGAAATATTTCAGGCACATTTACTGATTCAAAAGACACATAACACTTTAAAATAAAACATGCCTGTCGTAAGAGCTGGAGTCAAGAGATCGCAGGGCAGATGGCGATACAAGAGGGAGGACAACGAGATGGACAGCAGACTGCCAGAGTGTACTATCAAGACAAGAGACTGTGTGTGTTGGAGGTCCACTGAGCTAACCTTTACGGTAGAGAAGGTACATGACTTATTGATACAAGAGGATCGCAAAATGTGGTAGAACACTGGAAAGTAAAATCAGACACACTATAGTAGATATATGGCATAACTGCTATCTTCTGCGTGGTCGACTTCTGGCTCTGTTACCTTTGTACCTGTATAACATTGCTGTCTGTGGTCCCCTTTCTGTTACCGTTGTACCTGTATAACATTGCTGTCTGTGGACCCCTGTCTGTTGCCAATTCTATTACATGACCAAACCATTTGATCTTTTGTCTACCCATACAGTTCAGCATTGGTTCTGGGTGACTCTCCTCCTGATATCATCGTTCCAAAGTCTGTTGTATCCCACCTTCAGTTCTATGCTTACAGCCTTTCTCGATATCACCGAAGGAATATATTCCAACAATTTGGGTCTTTCTCCTAGAAAACTGTAGCAGCGATGAAAAATAAAACCATGACGCCTATTTAAGGAATAAACACATACCGAAAAAGTTCGTCTGACTTATGTGAACATTAAGAAGAGACATACTCCTGATCTGAAATATATTAGACTGTTGGTTTGTTGACGATATGTGTTGTGTCCGGAAGTTGCACAAGTCCGAGAACATACAACATCTTCAGTGCTTCCAGCAGGTCAAAGCTTTTAAGCGTGAGACAGAACTTTCCTGGCTAACGGGGGCGTCAAGTGGGGTCAGAATGGCGACCTGACACCCAGCACTTGAGGCTAATATATTTCTGGGACCAGGAGAGAGGAGGGTGAACTAGCAACACAGCGTGGAACTGTTCATGTACTTTCTTCCATCACCAGACTGTGAGTGCGATGTTTTTGCCATGATATTTAACTGTAGATGTAGCAATGATATCAAACTGTAGATGTAGTCATGTAATGCCTTAATATGCAGCCCACAATGTGAAGTTGATCAAATGCGCGCTAAACCAAGCAGACTACTTCAAACTGCTGTCATTACTGAAACTATGCGGATTCGAATTTCTCAAAACATTGCCATGATACGCGTCAAGCGAAACAAAATGAATGGCGAGACTGGAACGGTTTTGGCTCATCTGAGTCATTCAGCAGCAAATGTTTTCAACAGTAGACCAACCAAACAGAAAATAACTGCTATGTAAAATAACTATTCTGTGACTTTCTGTGAAGATAAATAAATACACGATACAAGCAAGCAACTCCTTCACACAGCCTCACTGTGAGTGCATCCTAATCTTTGTACCAGGTCATGCGGGTGTTCCTGGGAACGAACGTTCAGATCAACTTGCAGACACTGCGGTTGCTATGGCTGGTCAGGACTGGACAAAAGCCATGTTATCACTGCCATGTGCAGCACTTAACGTGACAACGAGCATGACTCCGTATCCCTGTCTAGACTCTATGGACATGCTTCAGAAAATCGCTACAGGTAGTCTCCGCTCTGAATAGTTAGAAAGCATTTGGAAGTCGCAGTTAACCTCCATCATCTGGATCTACACACATGGGTATGCAGGAGTAAATGGTAATGAAAGAGCTGACTAGCTGGCAAGTGATGCACCATTGCAAATGGGAAAAAGCATGAACAGAACTGATATCATCAACGCAGTACGCATTAGGTTGGGAGATAATGGCGAATCTCTGACGCTAACACGACTTCGTGACGGAGAAGTTAAGCTTGGTGAAGCACGACTATGCCGTCTTAGATGTAAAGACAGGAGATACTCTAACCAACTCCTCATAGGAACAATAGTTAGAGGTACCTTGAAGTGGCTGCTGAATCGGAGTACTGAGCACGCATGGGGATGCCCAATGTGCAAAGACGTCGATTGTAATAACATAACATCCTTGTCTAGGCTGATGGACATGGGGGTGCAGCCTGGAGCTGCAAGAAATGCATATTTTACCCCCTCTTGATACCGACACGGTGAACGAACTCACAGGTGAATAATGGCATAACCTTCTTTACAAACAACGCAGTGTGATTAAACATATTTATTCTTTTACACGAAACACGATGAAGAATAAATATCTTTATTGCTCTAAAAATGTTTACAGCCATGTAAACAACCAAGGAAACAAACCAGAATCAGTCATTAACTTCAGACACCTTGACTTCATAGTTCACAACTGAGATGGTACAAGATCAATTAAAAGAATGCAGATTGGCCAAAACAAGGCGCAGCGCCAAGGAACAACATGGCAGTAAGCATTGTGAGAACATGCAGCTTTCCACTGAAGACATACGGATGTTAGTCATAACAGTTTCACAGAGTGTGTAGAGAAAAATCACGACCTTCGATTTTATGTCAACAAACAAGCAAACACAAATACTCGTAAAATCCTGGCTCGCAAAAAAGCAGCGAAGGAAACTGAATTATGAACACCGTCATATCTTGGAAAATGAACCTGAGAAGTTCAGTTGCATTAACCATAACAGTGACTACAAAAACAAGCAACCAGTGGTTAATTGGAGAAGAGGCAGGAGTAAACCAGCATGAAGATTGATACCAACTAACTCGCCTCCTCTCAATGACCATCACCTGTTTTGGTCCACGGCCACTTATTCAATATATTCGTGGCTAACCTCTATATCTAGAGGCCTTTCCACCATCCGCCACCTGGTGGACGCGCCTAGTAGGACAGGCTCCTCCTACCCCAGGATCCTGAGAATGTCTGGTTTAAAGAAGCAAATGTCTGTTTCCAAAGAAGCTAGAAATGTAACACTGTGGTTGCGGAGTCAAGTTAACAGTTCAGATGAATGGGTTGATGCGGCAGCTGCGGCAAAACAGACTCAAAGGCGTATTCGGTCTTCAGACTAAGCAGTCGACGTACGGTGAGTTGGTTGGTACCGATAGAGTTACAGATAACTTGGGTATACAAATACGAGACGCAGGAGAGTGGCAGTCAGTCGCTGGTCTGTAAATATACCCTCCCTTTGCCAATGTGCTGCTACGTAAAAATATAATGATGATGATGATTGATCAAAGTGTGGGAAATTCTGTAGCACTTATGGAGCGCATTTGTTGACACGTAATAAATTGACATATTTGACAGCCAACAGGGTATTAGGAAAGGAGGTATGGTGTCCACCTCGGGTGCTGGAGGTCCCAGGTTCAAGCCCCGGCGAAGGCTAGGATTTTTTTCACGTGGACCTAGTAATTTCCCTGGTATCTGGGTAGTAAGATCGGACACCCGTGTGTATTCTTGTACACACATCAAACAGATTGTTCTACCCCGAATCCTTTT